TAACCATGGAAACCCCTTGATTTAGCATCATATTCCCTGGTAAAAGATGCAATGAGTGTAAGAATGCAATCCACAAACATTGTACTTTAAAAGCTTGGAAAGTTCTCTTGTTGTTTCATAATTTGTAAGCACAAAGAGCAATATACGCAGAACAAACATGGTGAAACAAACATCTAAAATCAAATCTATATAGTAAACCAATATCCTATATCAATAAAGTTATCCAACATTGAACACGAGGGTCAATGGGATTCATAAAATGTTCAAAATACTGGATTTTTACATAGAGAGTATCATTAACATGTGGGCAAATTATGCTCAAAATAGCTGTTTCTCCTCTGCAGCAATTTATATGCAATTCATATCAATTAATATCAAATACAATTAGTTAGCTTACTAAGAAATATAACTCCACCCAGACATCTGCCCACTTTACTCTGTATTTTAACTCTTCAGAAGCTGTGTAATCATTCATAGAATATCACTGTGATCATGTTTTAATATGCATCTAGGATGGAACTGCAAAGTGACATGGGGGATTTTGTGGAGATCCCTTTCCCAAAAAGACAACATTCATTTTGGATGAACAAGTTTAGTGAAGGGCCTCATTTTTATAAACTTCCTTTTGAGAAAATAAGGCCTCCCCTGGATCTAATATAATGTAATAAAGAGTATCTATAAAATATAAGATCTCTTTAAAGTTTTCGAAAAAATTATGTGGTATTGTATTACCAATTAGCCCATATGAGAATATTGTTATGGAAATGAAACATTTAACAAAGACTGCACAATATTAGTTCAAACAAAGATTTGATGTCAAATTAAGGTTATTTTTATCATGTATGTATTCAAACCACGAGGATTACAGCATTTTATTGTGATTAATTTTCATTACCAAGTCATACATCAAATCATGTGGGTGTCAATGACAGAGTGTGTTTTATAGCAGCACTTCCCCCCTCCTTGAAACATTCCGTCCTCATTATACTAACATTGTACAACGACATACTGACTTTCACAGAAAAATAAATTAAAATATTTTATGTTTTTTCCAAGAGATTAGGAATTCACACTTGTCCTGGACAGTCTCTATTATGATGCAAGATGACTGCACTAATGTGATCATGAAAATTGGGCTCAATAAAAACCAAACCGGACACTAAATAATGGAGAAATAAAACACAGAGAAATAAAACCCCTACAAAGATATAAAGCAACATAATTCAGATCACATACAATTGAGGAAACTATAAATGAATGTATGATAACTGAGCATGTGTTGAATGCTAACAAATACATTAATATCCATAACTGACCAAAGACACGTCTATATTGCCTAAAGGGGGACTGACCTTATATGTTTATAATGATCAGAATAAAGAGGTATTTTCAGAGCATCCTGCCTTGAAAACATATTTGCCAACAATCAAGTTTTCAGTTTTCACACATATGTTTTTAGGGATTCATCTTTGCTTATCGATTTCACTGTTTTAATAGTTTAGACTGTCTTTAATCTCAATCATCTCAACAGATGATTTATCACTTATAAAATTAAATTGAATCATGTCTAACATATTGAACTAGGTTTTCAATATTCTAATGGAAAGTGAGGTTCAATAAAGTAAAACATTTCTCTTTACATGAGTTCAATGGAGAGAATATTATAAGGAGTTACCCCAAAATATATTCACTTCAAAAAAAAGAGGTGGCCAAAAGACAAACGCATTAACAACATACAGGTGTTCATAAGATAAAGGTGTTCACAACATACAAGTGTTCATAACATAGAAGTGTTCATAAGATAAAGGTGTTCACAACATACAAGTGTTCATAACATAGAAGTGTTCATAAGATAAAGGTGTTCACAACATACAAGTGTTCATAACATAGAAGTGTTCATAAGATAAAGGTGTTCACAACATACAAGTGTTCATAACATAGAAGTGTTCATAAGATAAAGGTGTTCACAACATACAAGTGTTCATAACATAGAAGTGTTCATATGATAAAGGTGTTCACAACATACAGGTGTTCATGACATACAAGTGCTCATAAGATAAAGGTGTTCACAAGATAGGTGTTCAAAAGATATATTTGTTCACACATTCACTTAGACAGACCCTGGTATAATTTGGAATCAAACAGTTTCAATGCTAGGGGGGTTTGTTAGAGATATAATTATGTATGCTCTAACAGTGTTGATTGTTTGACTGGAAGGCATGATAGAACAATACAAAAACGTAATAGCATTAAATCAACATAAACAATTAAACATGAACATAAACATATATACATTATATATATATATATATCTGGAATTTGTCGTCTACAGATTAAAATTCCTAATTTTAGAATTCAAATTCCAGAGAAACATTTTGGTAGACAAAAACCATAACATAAACAAGTTTTAACAATAATCTCAAAGTTAACCAAAACCACTTTTAAAAACTTAAGAAAGATAAGTAAATCTTTATATGCATTTATTTATTTATTTATTTATTTATTTATTCATTTATTTACGTGTCACCTATCTAAGATAGCCAGCCCTACCTGGGCTTATGAGACACATTTTACATAAGTTATATAATATTAATACATAATAATTTTAACAATACAAATATAAAATTAGTGCAGTTCAGCTCAACATCATTATTGATTTTGATTTTTAAATAAAACTCTTTTCCTTATATAGAATATTTTTTGCAAATACTTTCCAAAGCATTTAATATATTTTTTATTTTCAAAGATATCTTTAAAGGAATTGTCTTTGATTTCTTGAAGGAAAGATTTTCGATCTTCTGAATAATGCGAACACTCAAATACAAAATGCGTTTCATTTTCAATTTCATTTGAGTTACAAATTTGGCACTGTCTTTGATTTACTGGAGTTTTCGGTTGAGTAAATCTCCCCGTTTCTATTGCTAAAGGAAGTATACCAGTTCTTAACTGAGCTATTAAAGAGCGTTCACCCCTTGTCAATGATGATGTAAGTAAATACTGTTCTATTGGACAGTCATGTTTAAAAGTTAGGTAAGTCCTCAATTTGGGTTGTGATTCAATATCTGTACGTAATTTTTCTTGTAATTTTAATTTTAGTTTTCTCTTAACAATGCTGATGTTAACATATTGTTTCTGGTTATAATGATCATTCATCCCTAACTCATTGAAAATTGATTTTATATCTGAACACCATCCATTAGGTTGATTATAGTCAATATTAAATATTTTTTTGGTGAGTCTATTATTTTCCATGAATGTGAATCTATTCCATAGACGCACAATATCTAGTGTTCTAGTGTCTTTCGGGGTAAGCCAGCCAGAATCGCTATATAGAGCAGGAATTGAAGCGTATCTATGAACGCCCATAAATGCACGTATGGCACGTTGGTGAATATAGTCACATTTTTGATAAGGTTTCGCTCCCCAAATACCAGCACTATAGTTCATAATAGGTAATACACATGTGTCATACAGTTTACTGAATGTCTGGAATGATAGTCCTTCATGTGATCTGAATTTAGAAATAAGACCACCAAGTCCTCTGCTTGCTGCTGAGCTCAGATGTTCTGCTGTAAATGTATAGTCTAATGTTTCGTTGAAGAAGCAACCCAGATATTTGTAGCTTGACACTTTTTCGATTTCAGAATCATTGAAGACAAAATTATAGTTCGTTTTAGGCATGGTTTTCCTTCTGAAATGTACAATTTTAGTTTTTCCCATATTTATAGATATTCTCCACTGATTGCACCACATTTTAACAATATCGAGCAGCTTTTGTAGATCGGTTTCGCTTTCACAAATCAGAGCAATGTCATCTGCATATAATAAAACGTTTATAAGTTCATCACCATATTTGACGCCAATTTGACTAGAGATTATTGTCTTTGCTAGGTCATTTAGGAAGATATTACACAAACAAGAAGAAAGATTATCTCCTTGTTTTAATCCAGCTGTAGAGGGGAACCAGTTTGTTGTTTTACCATTGAGATTTACTATGTTAGAAGTTCTGCTATACATTGTCCTTAAAGCTCTATACATACGGCCATCAATACCTGCCTTTGTCAGTTGCATAAATAAACAGTCCCTGTCGATTTTATCAAAACATTTTTCTACATCTATGAAGCATATAAATGTTGATTGTTTTAAATGTTTTCTGTGGCGTATAATTGTTGTCAATACATACAGATGATCAATACAGGCTCTAAGCTTTCTGAAGCCGTTTTGCTCATCAGCTAGGAACGATTCACTGAAGCACATTAGTCTATTACTTAATACTGAACTGTATAACTTACTCATTGAGCACAACAGACTTATTCCTCTATAGTTAAGTGGTATTCTAGGGTCATTTTTACGATTTTTAGGAATCGGTTTAATTATGGCTCTTCTCCATTGTGAAGGGTATAATCCATGTTTAAAGCATTTATTAAATAAAACTGTTAATAATGATACTGAGGTGGCATTTTGGAATACTTCACCTGGAAGATAATCAATTCCTATGGCTTTTCCTTTTCTTATTTTGTTTACTGCTGTAATGATTTCATCCATATTTATGTCACTGTTAATTTCCTTTTCAGGGTCATCATTGTTTTCAAAAATATGCATGTTGTTATCAACCTCTGTTTTGAGGTGTACTAGTTTAGAATAAAATTCATCATCAAATTCATCTTTATTTGACGCTTCATATAGTTCTCGGAATTGATTTTCCCATGCTAACAAGATCTCATTTTCTTCTCTTAATATCTTGCCATTTATAAGTACTTCATTAGGGATTTCAATTTTTTGTTTAGGACCTAATTTACTTATTTCATACCAAAATTCCTTTGGGTTGTTTGTCTTTAATTCATTTATATATATTTGGGTTCTTATGTTAAAATCTCTTTTAGCTTTTCTTACTGCTTTGTCAAAAGTTGCTTGAGCTAATTTATATTCTCTTAAGAGCTCTTTTTTATTCCTGTTTCTTTTGAAGTGACATCTATATTTTCTATATCGATTTTCATTCTGACAAAGTTTTTTAAAAAGTTCGTTAAGATTGGAATCCCACCATGGTTTTGGTTTAAATCTTGATTTACGTTTTGTGTTTTTTGAAATGTCATGAGAGGGTAGCATATTCAACATTTCATCGTAGTAGATTTCACACACTTTATCGTATGTGTCGTCGATAGTAGCTTGATTTGCCGATTCATTTTCAATTCTAAGAATTGCTTCATTTAAGCTATTTTGCGTATTGTCATTTTTCAGGAAATTGTCTGGAATTTGTTTTAAGTTAAATTTTCTGTACTTCATTTTATTGCCTTGTTTTTCATCGCCAATTAAGTGGTCTGTTTTATCAGTATACATTGATCGTGTTTCCTTTATTTCAAAGTCACATAATAAGACTGAGTGGTCAGGCAATTTTGATCTTTGCATTGATGGTGTTAATTCAAAATCTACACAAATTTGTGATACTGGTTTTACTTCGAAGTGCTTAATATTGCTAATCTGGGGATGGGGAACTATAATGTAGTCAACAACTGCTCGCCCTTTCGGGGATATTGAAGTAAAATCGTTTAATGTGGGATTTATGCGACCATTTAAAATACAGCATTTAGATTCCAAAAGGAATTCTTTAAGTAATTCGCCATGCTTATTTTTTGTGTCATCAATTATGCTGCCTCTAGGTGGTACTGGATCCAGGTCAATTACATAATCATCTAAATCACTTATTCTGGCATTTAGGTCTCCACATATAATTAATCTATCAATGTCGCTATAGGTGTAAGTCAATTGAAGTAGGTGATCAAAGAAATTATCACCGTTTCGGCCTCTTTCCCCGCCTTCAGGAGGTAAATAAGCAGCAACTATCATTAATGTCAAATCACTGTGAAGGTGGGTAAGTTTTACAGCTAAAATCCCTTCATATGATTTTTCAATAATTTCCGATGAGAATTCTTGTAATAATTGGTTTTTAATTAGAATGGCCACCCCACCTGATCCACATTTTGCAGTTTTCTTTAGTGACATGCGATTGTGGCCATAAAATATGTATCCCTCAAGACTTATTTTTTGAACATCTTGAAGCTTAGTTTCGTTGAGGCAAATTATATCGGGGTTAAGTTTTTGAATTATTTGAGATCTAATTGGGCCATTTGAGTTGGTCCATGAGTTTACATTCCAGTGCATACATTTAATGTTGAAGGGCTGGCAATCATCCTATGCCCATTGGTTATCATTTTCATTTGGTTGTCTGTTTCTGTGAATAGTTCCTCTTCCTCTGTTTTGTCCTCGTCCTCGTCCACCTCGGGGTCCAGATCCTCTCCCTCTCCAAGCTTGTCCCGGATCCAGGTTCCGGTTCTCATTTTCTTTCTCTTGCTCGGGAGATTTTTTCACTAGTCTTCCACTCCCTGTTATGATGAACTCATCTCCACCTGGGATGCATTTCAACATTTCTCTGGTGTTCAGCTCCAATAATCTTTCTTGGTGAGATTTGGCTCCATTAATATAAATATTGTGGAATTTTTGTTTTTCATTCAGAGTTTTCTTTCTTCTGAGAAGAGCTATTTTATTTTCCTTTGTTTTCAGTTGGACTTTGATAACTCCAGGTTTATCATTCCGTGACTTTGTTCTTTCTGCTTTAACAAGCATTTTACTCTCCATTCCGAGACCTTCGCAGATGACCATGTTGGCTTTTTTAGTAACATCTTTGTTTTATTTTCAAATAGACTTATATATATACATTCATCTATTAATGCCAATGTTTGCTAATATTTTATATTTGGTTGACATTTTATTTAAGCAATGGTTTTCATAACATAACAAATCCTTTCTTTGTTGAGGTCAGAAGTTAATGTTTTTCTTAAATATAAAAGTTCAGACATATTTTTAACAAAAGCCCATTGTTATCCTCATATTAACCGTAATGCCTATTTGCATGGCCTTCCCTGAATATAACAGGTTAAAATATAGGTGTGCAAGTTTCTAATAATACATCAACCACAATTTCAATCCTCTGCCAAAAATGAATATTTTTTCAAGTGATTGCATTAATTTTAACAACATTTTCAAACAAGTAGCCACTTTTAAAGTACTCATTAAAATTCATTTCAGGCTATTTTTACTTAATGAGCATTTTTATAAATTACTACAAACTCCTATAAAAACTAACTGCTCGAATATATGAACTTTCTATTTCTGTATTTTACATATTTCCGTAAGACCTTTTTTGATGAATATGTCATTGCTATGGTAACAAGAGTCAATAAAAGATGGGAGGGGATTTAGCGGACAGTATCTTATATGTGGCATGTACTGTTGAAATGGGTAACTTTTCTAGCTATCTATCCCAAATTTGACCGACGTTTTAATATATTGTCATTCCTTCTGATCTGACGAGCCCGGAATTGACCAATGACATGCGCATATTTAATTAGAACGCATTTGGCGTATGTTTCTTCAAGCTCACTGATTGGTGGAAGAAAGTCAGCGTGTAGGTCAGAAGTGATTTATTACCCAAACTGTCACTGGTACCCGTCGTGGGAGCGGGGCCACTAAACTGTAATATGGTCTCTACTAGGCAGAGTGTAGTTTAACTAGACTCTGTACGCAGGGTAATGGAGGCCTCTCCTTCAGGAGACATTTGGATGATTTTCAAAAGTCATATTATGTGACCTAAATAAACAGTGGCTCACCCATGAGAAGAATGAAAATCCCTCATATGGAATTTATATGATATCCATCCCTGTAAATGTTCTCTAAACCTGAAACCATGAGGTAAAATGTGAACTACTACCGGTATACCTCTACCTGATTGCTTATAATATTCATTGACAGTCTTTGAGGAATCAGCAGAACTAATGAGTGAAATGAAAACCTCATATGGAATATACATAATATCCCATCCCAGTGAATTCGATATTTTCTCTCAACCAGGAACCATTAGTTAAAATGTGAAGACCTACCTCTATCTGTTAGCTTGTCAAACTCATTGATAGTCTTTGATGAATAATCTCCAATTCCACATAAAGATGTAAAATTCCCCATATTTGCACTTTTCAAGAATTCAACTAAATGTTCAAACATATCCTATAGTTACAGATGTTATCCTATAGTTACGGATGTTATCCTATAGTTAAAGATGTTATCCTATGCTATAGTTCATCTAACATCCTCATTTGGTTGTGTTATATTTTTGGGAAAATATACCATGTAGCCTTGTGCTTTTCCTTGTCTATGGTTGCATACTGATTATTGTAATCAAATCACTTATTAATCCAAAGGCCTGGTCCCAAATTATATAATAGCCACTTTTGGTTTATTTAATAATCCAAATATGTATGTCAGCATCTTTTAATTAACATTCTAGGCCTCTTCAACCTTTAGTAGTAACCCAACATTACATTAGCATCCTAATCCACATAGTTCTAGTTGGATTTACATTACTAAGCAGTAACTAGATAGCAAAGTGTACTGTACAACTATGTAATTTGATAACATTTTGATGCAATGTTAAACACTAAGAGATAATCTCAAATATTGGTCAAATGTAATAACTTCAAATATCATAACTCCCTCCACTACTTGACGCATTTAGCTCACTGTATAGTTAGGTATTCACCTAGTATTTATTCAATTCATATAAATAAATAATACCTGATGAAAATTTTAAATGTCCAACATTCAATATCCGAGCAAGCTATATTTCTAACTCGTCAACTCATATGTTGTAAAACACTAAGCCTCCAGTCATATAAAACCCAATACTATTAATTAAAAGTGACTGTAAAATGCAATCCAACACTTCGGTATACTCCAATATCTAATCTAATACAATCTTTGACATACAGCAATAAAAAGCCTCAATTTCAAGTTTAAATTAGAGATTTTTCATGAAACTTTAACCAGATGGTGAAATGACATGTGGTGTTCAGCTTTGTGGTTAAATGACAATGCAGAAAATATTACTTTTTCAAGTTTATTTCCTATAATTTCTCGACAAAATTAGCTATTTTGAGCAACTTTCGATATAATTTCGATATAATTTTGTGTTCTGTCTCTGCCATTTTCTAATTTTTCTTTTTTTCAACATGATTTTCCATTCTGAAATAGGTGATCATTTTGATATTAAAAGCAAGGGTGGCCTTGAAATATCTTTGTATGTGTATGTAAAACATCAGTTTACCCTTACAAGCTGTCCATGTAAATCAAGGATGTCATGCGATATGATGAAACAATTATGTAAATAAAACAAACAAATTCATACTTGATGTCAACACATGACATCAAGGTGAACTATATTGAAATGTTTTATTGACTGATAAAATCCAGAAAGGGCAACATTCAAAGTGAGAAACTAAATAGTAAATAGTTCAAAATCACAATGTTGTTTTTGCAATCACATGAATGAAAGTCATTCATCAACATAATAGTCATTAAGTCGTTAAAAGCAAATATAATTACAATTTCTCAAATAGAAACTTCAAGTTAAACTTACCATTTATCAAAACATCTTGATATTGATATATAAAAGTGATACAAAATGATGGAGTTATACAATGACAAACTAAATGCAAAATGACATAAAAGACATAACTAATTTATCAAATGATATATATTCAAAAACTTAACAATAAATTCTTATTTCATGAAAATGAGAACATCCAAGAGCATGCTGAGTAAAATGTAACTGCAATTCATAATTCACAAGATGAGAATGGCTTTCTATAGTTAAGGACATGAAATGATTTATTGCAATAATGACACTATAAATTATAACACTACTTCACAATCATCTTCCCGCCACCCCTTTTTCAATGTCATTGTTTTCATTCATTCTATTTTCTTTTCATTGCGACAAACAATCTAATAAAATTTACAGTCTCACACTCAACTGCCATCAGTTTGTATTCAAATATAACATGATAATCTATTCATTTCATATTCATTCATTTATTGAATATAATATCTCAAAAACTCTATTTGTTTCCATATTTTCTCTTCAATTCAAAACCAGTTACATTTCATTCTGATCAACTACTTCAGGAAACAAGAACAACTAGATGCTAAACAGTTTTTAAAATAGTTTTTACAATACCTTCATTAAAAAATGTATCCGTACATCCATGCACTTGAATGTGTATACATGAGAGAAGCAAGCGAAATGATTAAAGTTGACAATAAGACTTTTTTTTTGGGGGGGGGGTGTAGCTAACCTTTTTACCTGAGACGAAAATGTTTACAGTCTGGAATAGTCACAGTGACAAATAATAAATGATCCATTATCAACTGAAAGCTTATTTTATTAATCGCTTTACATTATCACATTGTCAAAGTTATCAATAAGTGGCGGATAAATGGGTTCAGTGGCCTGAACTGGAGATAGAGCAGGGGTCTCAGTAAGTTGATTGCTACTGGAATAGCCTATATA